CCCCATAGTTCTCTCAGAGAGAGCCCCTGTGGTGTGGTGCATCCGGAAGACCTGGGTTTGAGTCCCAGCCGTGACACTCACCAGCTGCATGGGTAGGGCCAAGGCATTTAACATCTGAGCCTTAGTGGCCCCTAGGTGAATAGGCATGGTTATCCTTGCACTACAAATTCCACTGCAACAAACATTTGTCCTGGTAGTTGTTTGTTTGTTCGCCTTTAAAGATGCAAGGAGAGCACTGAGTCAGAAGCTGGAAGGATGTAAAGTTCAGTGAAGATTTAGTTCTTGCTCTAATGGAATTTAAAGTTTACTGGAATAACAACTCATGTGTAGGTAGCCCTTAAGAAAAAAAACAAAAAACAAATAACATACGAATTTTAGCAAAGCACCCAAGATAAGTATGGCCATTATTACTGTGCTCATTTTACTGAGGTAGAACCCGAGATTCAGAGATGTTAAACGACCTGATATAATTTACCTAACTTTTCTGAATCTGTTTCCCTCATGTCTGTTACATGAGGCCCGGGGCACGGGTGGGGGTATGAATTATTAATTGATCTCAATCAACAAGCATTTATTAAATGTCTGCTTTGTGCCAGGCAATAGGGATTCCCCCTGCCTGTAACTGTGATGTCATTAGTATGGTGAACTCCCAGTAAGAAAACTCCCTTTACCAATTTAGATTGGCACCTGCAGAGAGCTGCCTAGGGACACTGAGAGGTTAATCAGCTTACTTAAGATCACATAGCTGGTGTGATCAGAGGTAAAACTTTCTGATTCGGAGGCATGCTCCCTATCCACTGATCTACAAAGACTCAAGCACTGGGAATATACAAACAAAAATGACAAAGTCACTGTCCTCATGGAGCTCTAGGGACCTTAAGGTTCTTGAACTGGTGTCCTGTTAACTTGGTTTTGGATACCTATGTTCTGTATAGTTTAGTTTGCTTTATAAACCTATATATTTTAATTTCTGCATTTAAATGTGTGATTCTGAGAAGGGGTCCACAGGCTTCACCAGACTGCCAGAAGGGCCTATGACATAAAAAAGGTTAAGGACCCTTACTACTATTTCTGCTGCTGCTGCTACTACTACTAGTACTACTGCTGCTGCTACTCTACTACTATTACTACTATTGCTACTACTACTACTACTACTACTACTACTACTAAATTATATAATTTATATAGCACTTGATACATAACTATGTCAACTGATCCTCACACCAACCCCAGGATGTAGGTGCTATTACTACTCCCATTTTACAGAAAAGGAAACCAAGGCTGAAAGGTTAAGTGATTTGCCCAAGGTCACACAGATAATCAAAAATACAAACAGGATTAAATGTGGGTCTCTTGTCTCTCAGTTCTCCTTTCTCATACACAGAGGCTGCCTTTCTATAGAAAGATGAGCAGAACATGGATCTTCTTTGTAAGCTCTTACTTAACTCCCTCTCTCTGATCCAATTTCTCCATCTCATCGATCCACAGGATTGATGGTTATCTTTAAAACCTTCCAGAACCTTCCATTCCACCCATTTGTCCATTTCCACTCCAAAAGTTATCATTGCTGACTTGGCATCTCAAGCTTGGCCTTATCCTCATTCTGTATCCCAAGACTGCCACAGTCTCCTGCTGCCTCTGTGACTGATGGAGAGTCTTGACATCATTTACGTGTCTCCAGCACCTGTCCATTCCTTCTGTCTCTTTTGCTATTACCAGACTTCAAACTCCTGTAACCTCTTGCCTGGACTATAACCAGTAAACTTCTAGCTCATCTCTTCTTGCAGACTCTTAGCCTTCTAATCCAATCTAATCACACCCAGATAGAAATGGGGGCCACTAATTCGTAGTAAGGGTTCTTTGTGGGCTTCATTTTGACTTAGAAAACCACATTATGTTGTATCATATTTTCATTTTTTGTTAAATATTTCACAATTATATTTTATTCTGGTTCAGGCAGCACTGGGGAATGTTGCTGGCCACAATGAAACCTGCAAAACTATTTAACATCTCTGTTCTAATCCATTTGACTAAACCTATCACGTCTGACTATGTCACTCACCTACCTAGAAACTTTCCATAACTGTTTATCAACTAATAATAAAAATTTAATTTATATACTGTGTTAAGGTTCGTATAGCACTTTACCTATATTATCTCATTTCATCCACACAAAACTCCAGGGAGGTTGGTGGTATTATTGTGCCCATTTTATAGAAGTGGAAACTGAGTCAGATAGAAATTAAGTAACTTTTCCATGGTGGTTGTTGTTCAGTTGTTTTAGTCATGTCTGACTCTCTGTGATCCCATTTGGGGTTTTCTTGGCAAAGATTCTGGAGTGGTTTGCCATTTCCTTCTCCAGTTCATCTTACAGATGAGGAACTGAGGCCAACATGGTGAAGTGACTTGCCCAAGGTCACACAGCCAGTAAGTGTCTGAGGCCAGATTTGAACTGATTGAACAGATTTGCCCGTGGTTACTCAACTAATAAATATTTGGAGTCATATTTGAACTCACGTCTTCCTTATTGTAAGTCTAGAGCTCTGTACACTGTGCCACTTAGCTGTCCCTTTATTTTGGACTACCAAAAATAAAGTCCAGAGTGACATTCATTTCCTCCCCTATATCGCCTTCTCTTCAGTCTTACACAACTCTCTTTCATATAGCTACATTCTACCAAAGACCCGCTTTCCCCACTCTAAGTTACTTTCCCATTTTCCTACTTCTTCATCTTTGCTCCTTGCCATGGGAATATATTCCCCCTACATCACTACTAGTTGAAATCCTCACCCTTCTACCTCAAACTCTATATTCCTCCTTTCTTTGAGGCCCAACTCAGGTGCCATTTCTTCCATGGAGCTTTCCGTCACCTACCCCAACTGAAAGTGATGTCTCCCTCCTCTAATGTCCCATGTACTTTGCTTGGTCTTCATTTTTAAACCTCTCTTAATCTCCCTTGCATCACTTTTCTTTATTTATTTGTGCTTCCCCTCCGTTAGGTTGTAAACTCCTTGACCTGGGTCATAATATCCTGGGTCTTTCTATCCTCGGTGCCAAACATGGTGTCATGTATAGGGTAAGAGCTTAAATAGTGTGCTGAATTAGTACATATTCTAATGGTATTATGTCCCATAATGCTATTTTACCAAACACTGTTTTTGAAAAAAGAACTCAAAATATTTGGTGGAGTATACCTGCATATAAGTATTTTTTTTGAATCCTACAGAAGGACCTTTATTTATCAAGCATTTATTTTTCTCTTCCTTTCACCCTTCTCCACTGAAATGAAAAAGGAAAAAAGAAAAACATAACTCTTGTAAAAAATGTGCATAATGAAACAAAACAAAATTCTATATTGGCCATGTTAAAAAAAAAAAAGCTGGATATCTCCTGTACAGAGTCTGTCCCCCTTCTGTCAGGAAGTGGGTAACATTCTTCATCATGGATCCTCTGGAACCATCAAGTTGATTAGTTCTTTCAAAATTATTGTTAGAATATTAATTATTCTCCTGACTCTGCTCACTTCACTCTGTGTCTGTTCATACAAATTTTCATGCATATAAATATTTATGAACGTCTCCATTAGATTTTAAACTCCATCAGAGCTGGGAACTCTGTCCTATTTATCTCTGAATCCCCTGTATGAAGCCCAGGGCCTTGGACATAGGAGGCACTTAGGGAAAAGTTGTTGAGTTTCATTGCTCAAGATGCATTCGGTGATTCTGGAAATATTCATGGTTTTAATGGTACTCCACATTTTTCTGTGTCACAAAGAATTTTCCTCATAACAGTCCAGTGTGGTAGGTAGTGCAAGTCTCATTTCCCTGTTTCACAAAGAAACCAAGATTCAGAGGGCATGAGCAACTTGTCCAAGGTCATGCAGCTATTAAACACCAGAGTTCAAACTTGATCTTAGATTTTCTCAATGCAAGTCCATGATGCCATGCATCCTTTCTGAAAGACAGGCTGTGTGTATGGCTAGGTGAGAAGGATGACATAGGAATTATGTGTCCTACATACAACCTGGTAGCATTTGGTGACTATAAACTGAATGGGAGCTAAAGGTTGAGTGAATCACAAAAAAAAATCCCTAAATGTTCAGCAGCTGCTAGTATGCTCATTCTTCCTCCTCCCTCCCATATTGTCCCTACTCCCTACCTCCCACCTGCCAAATTGATTGAATCCTACAGAAGGACATTTGGAATGTGTTAAAATTTCTAAGGTCAAGTCTTGTCAAAATCTAGATGCAGTTGGCTGAATTTAAACAAAACAAATCAAATCAGTATTTCAGAAGGGGGCATAAACAACTAAGCCCTCGTCAGACAGTATGCATTGTCTTGTACTATGTAACTTTTTTTAAATGTCTGTGCTTATGTCCTGTTTTGGGTGATGTATTGCACGTTTTGGAATGTCAGCCTTGGGTATAAATTGCAGGGTTTTGTCTATGCCTCTAAGTGCTGCCTTCAAATTGGGTGTCCCAGAAAGTGAGCGGTTTGGTCACAGAAGCATAGAATGTTTGAGATGTAATGAACTTTCAAATATAGAGGTAGGGGAAGAAGAGAAGTTAGAAAAAATAATATTAAAGGCAGAAGAGACATTAGGGTATAGAATCTTAGTGCTGGAAGATATACTGGAACACAGAACGCTAGTGCTGGGAGGGATCCCTGGACATAGAACATTAGAGCTGGGAGGGATCCCTGGACATAGAACGTTAGAACTGGGAGGGATCTTAGAACACATATTGTCAGAGGGACCTATGAACATAGAATGCTATAGAAGGATGTTATATTGTTAGAGGTAGGAGGGTATTTGGAGCATAAATTGTGAGCTTAGAAGGTAGAATGTTAGAGGTGGCAGGGACCTTAGATCATGGAATCTTAGAGCTGAGAGAAGCTTTGTAGAACACAGAAGGTTAGAACACGGACGGAACTTTAAAATTCAGAATCTCGAGGCTGAAAGAAACATTAACGAAAGTTTAGTACAAACTCTTCGTTATGTAGATGGCGACCCCCAGGCCCTGAATCTTGCTTTTGGGCGGGTCAGATTTAAACTTCCACGCAACAATTAGACCTTAAATCACAGGTAAATACATTGTACTGGGCACTTTACCATGTGATTCTGAGGCTCCCGCCTTCCGAGTTCTGCCTAGTTTGCACCTGGGCTCGGCAGCGTCCTTCTCTCCAAACTTCGAGTGTGTGCATAAACTTATTCCGGGCTTCAAAGGTGCCTGCTTTGCAACTTCTGCAGAGCCTGCACGAATCCCCCCTAAGCAGATGGGCACAGACCCCAATATGTGCAGTACATCTCCTTTTCTAAGTTCCTGTATCGTTGATGCATGTTTTACCTTGACTCCCCGCTCTCCTCCCCACTCCCCACCCCCGCCCCAAACCTCCCGTGTGTTCCTTAAAAGTATTTTATTTTTTCTGTCTGTGTTTGTGCTTGTGGTCCGCAGGTCGTCCCTTGCATTGTTCATCTGCTTCATCAACCCCTATTGAGCAGTCCCCTTCCCCTCCCCCTTCCCCACCGGCCAATGAGAGCCAGAGGAGGTTGCTAGGCAACGGTGTGGCCCAGCCAACCCAGGACTCTGACTCTGAGGAAGAGTTTGTCCCTAATTCATTCTTAGTTAAAAGTGGCTCCGCAAACCTCTGTGTCCCTGCCAATGGTAAGTCACTCTCTCTCTTTCTTTCTCGTCCTAACTTTGTTCTTTCTTTGTCCTCCTGCAAGGTGCGTTGCGGGGCGGGGGGGGGGGGGTTTGCATGAAAGGTGCAGACAATGGTGCGTTGGCTTGCATATATGATTTACCATGTGGTGTGTTTATGGAAGGGTCCTTGCTTGCCCGCGGCGCAAGCTCTCCAGCCTCTCCTCCCCTCCCGTCGTGTCCTAGGGCTGAATTTGGGGCTCTCTCCTTATCATAAAGAACCCCTCTCAGTTTGGATGAGTTGGATCGATTGATTTTCTTGTTCTGAAGAAAGGCGGGGAAGTCCCACCAGCTGAAACTCCAGCCCCAAACTCTTCACCGAAAGTTCCCGGGCCAGGAGCATCCTGCCATGGTGGGGTAGTGAAATGCCATGACAACTTAGAAGTCAGTGTCTGTTGCCAAGAAACGCTGCCCGGTAACCCGCGGGCCTGCAAAAGGCGCTGGCTTCGCTGCTTGCCCTCACAGAAACACTTGGAAGTTTGCACTCCAAGTCACTGCGTCTTTTTGAAATCACGGTATAGGTGAAAGAACTTTGGAGTCGGAGGAGTTGGGTTTGAGGGTGAGCCCGGTCACTAGTTTGCCTGGGAGACCCTGCGCAAGTCAGTTAAGATCTCAGAGCCTCACTTTCCTCACCCGTAAAACGAGGGGAATTGACCTAAGTGATCTTGAAGGTTCCACTTGTCCCTAAATTTTTGTCTGTGCAATGTTGGCCCTGTGGAATAGTGTTGGAAAAGGGCTGGACTGAGGCGGAGTCGGGTGACTTCGGTGCTGGCTTCCAGAGTGGTGGTGCCAGTATATATGGCTGTGCCTCAGTTTCCTTATTTGTACAATGAGAGAGCCGAACTTTGTGACCACTGAGGTCCCTTCCAACTCTAAGGTTCCTGTGAGAAAGACAGGGTGTCCGCAAGTATTAAAACCACTTTTTCTTCTTTCTCACATAGGGAAAACATAGATTAGAAAATGTAATTAAGGATATTTCAGCGAAAACCCATGTTATAGAATGAGCTGCTTGCCGTTTGGGAGACTTAAAATATTATTATTATTATTATTATTATTATTATTATTTGCGTCGCCTCCATTTAGCACTGGGCTTTGTACAGAAGAGGTATTTAATAATTATTTGTTCATTTGAATGCGACCTGCTTGTGTTGTGCTCCCCAGTTTGTGGCAGGAAATGGCCCAGAAGGGGTCTGGATCTTTAAGGACTCAAGAGACTGATGGAGAAAAGATTCAGGAGGGCTGTTGGTAGGGGCACCTGGGACGTGGGCTGTGATCCCCAGCTGAGTAGGAGGGAGAAGAAGCTGGAAGAAGGTGGGAAAAATCAGGCTCTTTCCCAATTAAAGTGTTGAGCGATCCAGGGGATACCTCCTTCCCCTCCTCCTATTTTCTGGAGACCTAGGGCAATAAACCTGGGAAAAGTTGTTGACTACCACGTGTTAGATTCATCAAGTGGCTCATTACCTGAAGCAGGGTAAACATCAACAGGGGACCCAGCCATGGCCAAGCTGCCCCCCCCCCCCAGCTCCCAGCCTGAGTGAGTCAGCTGCAGCCCCACTGATTTATAGAGGAGGCGAAACCCTTAGTGTGAGCTGGTCCCTGAAGGTGTGAGCAAAGAAGCTAATGGCTGCTTCTAGATACAGATCCCTTTCCCCCAGTCCCCTCCCTCCCCTTCAGCCTCTCTGGGCTCTTTTTCCTCTTTTAAGAACATGAAGGAGAAACCTTAACATTTAATGCATTTTAAAACTTCCTTCGGTGACTCTGATGTGTTTTGTGGAGTGAAAACAAGTTAGCCCGCAGGGTCTTTTCAGAACGGTTGACTAAGACGGTCCTGCTGGGGAAAAGCAGGGAGAATGAGAAGGTCGAGTTCTGGGGAAATGCAAAATGTTGCTTTATATCGCTACTGCCCATAGTTGTGCGGCCAACTCAGGTCTGTGCTCAGGGCCAAGATGCCTTAAGTATTCACTAACTTTACCACTTAGTCACATCTGTGTAGGTTCAGAGGAGGTGGTGAGAAGTTCAAAGAGCCTCGGATAGTGTTTACACTTCCCTAGGCTAGTAGCTGTCCAGCCAGCTTTGGATCTGGCTCTTTCCGGATCCAAGACTCCTCTGGGACACACTGCTTGGCTGTGTGACCCTAGGCAAGTCATTTAACCTTTGAGAGCTCTATGAAACAGTCTGCAGTTGCAGAGAAAGTACAGACTAGCCTTGGTAGAGGGCACTTCCACATTTGAGAGTTCCTATACTGATGAAATCACAGGTTCATTTAGCCTCAGCACCTAGCACTCTGCATATGGGAGGCTCTTGATAATTGCATAAATTAACTTTGACTTGGGTTGGAGTTTTAAATCTATTATTCTGGCAATGTGACCCACGGTAAGTCACATTTCCCTCCCAAGGCCTCACTATCCTCATCTGTAAAATGAAGGAGTGGGATTAGAGGGTTTTTCAGCGCCATTACAGCTCTAAAAGGGCTATGATTTCTATGTGAGATGTATTTAAATCTTAACCACCAATAACCTTTTAAAGATGATTGTGCTATACATATATTTTTTTCTTTGTTTACCTAGGAATAAATATACCCAGAAGGTTAAAAGAGAGAGAGAGATTAAAAAACCTTAATCTCTCCCTTTACTAATTAACTGAACAGAAGCAAAAGCTTTGTTCAGAGCCTTTAGTGAGTTGATGGCATTACTGCATTATTGATGTGTAGGGAAGTTAGTGAGACTTTCAGTTGGCTCTTAGGCTGCTGGCTTATTTATTCTGCTTTCTGCCAGTGGCTGGCTGTCTGCTGCTGTGGTTTGTAGACACTTTGCATTCCCAGAGGGGCACCTTTCTTTCTGTGTAAAATTGTGCAGGTTGGTAATAAATATGTCCCACACCCAGACAGAGTGTCTGGGCTCCCATTTGCTGGGTGACTTCGGTTCTTCCTAAGGAGAGATGCAGGTAAGGTTCACTACCCTCCTGTGACTGGTTCTGGGATGACACTCTTGCTCTGAGCAAAAATCAGAACAAAGTAATAGCAATCCCCACATTTGCAAAAACACCACAAAGGTCACCTGTGCAGTACCTTGGAATGTATTAAGCATTGTTTCTGCCAAGAATCTGAAAGTAGTAGATGAATGGGGGTAGGGGGGAAAGAAGTAGTGCATAAATAGCATAAATTTAACTTATTTTGTGCCCCCCCAAAAAAACCCCGATAACTTCAAAGAATAGGAGAGTCTTCCTAATGATTTCCCTAAAGGGATTTGTCGCTTTTTAGTCCATGGATTTAGGGCTGAAAGGGACCTTAGAGATCAGTTATTCTAGCCAGTCCTCCCCCCCATTTTATACATTTGGACTCTGAGAATGTAAGATCTTTGAGAGTTGAGATTGTTCCATGCTCTTTATTGAGATCCCCTGTACCTAGCACGGTGCTGGACCCAGAGGAGGAGCTTATTAAATGATTGTTGGTAGTTAGACTGAATCCCAGAAAGTTTTCAGCAGTTTGGCAAAATCACTCAAGGACTAACCAGCAAAGTTGAATTCAAATCCAGTTTTCTTTTCACTAATACAATTGTCACTCCTAAGGATCTGCTTCTCTTAGACTTAGCTTAACTGCTGTTAATGGTTTAAAAATACACACACACACACACACACACACACAGTTACAAATATTTATATAGTACTTTATGTTTTACAGAGCCTGTCCTCAGAAATACTCTGTGTGTATCCCCATTTGGTCCTGTTTCCTCATCTTTGAATTGAGGGCTAGGTGACTAGAGAGGTTCAAAGGTTCCCTCCAGCTTTAGAACCCTGTGACCCACACTCCTTCAAGAATTATTATTCTGATTTTACAGATGAGACTCAGATGTTAAGTGACTCGCCTAGGGTCACACAGCTACTACTAAGTGTCAAGGACATTTAATCAGCGAAAACCAGTAAAAGCTCATTTTGTTTAAAATGAAGTTTACTACAGAGCAAAGCCTCTTCCTCTCTGACCGCCTAAGAGGCTGCCTCGATATCAATGCTGCCTGAGAATGACTTCCAAAAGGATTTGTGTTGTACTTTTTAATTAATCCCTCCTAGGCTCTCTTTCCACAGCTGTGTAAACTCAGTCTTACAGGAGTCAATCCAAAGTAAGTAACACCCAGAGAGCAGCACTGCTGTTGTGAGTCCCCGTGTAAATTGCAAGGAAGATGCAGGGGGCCTTGCAAATCAGGCCACTGTATCTTCAGAAATGGAAAATGTAGCTCTCCCTTGGATCTGAGCTCTGTTCATGCTCAAAAGAAAATCATATAGAAATCTCCGGGCTGGAAAAATATTTAGATAAAATTTTACCTAGGAGTATTTGAAAAGCCAGGGAGGTAGTTAGGATCAAAGGTGAGCTGGCATCTGCTCACTTCAGGACCTTTTATCAGTGAGATAATATTTGTAAAAAGCACTTAGCAAAGTGCCTGGCACATAGTAGGCTCTATGTAACATTCCCTTCTCTTACCTTCCCCTTACATCAGAGCCCTGGACCTTGACTTTGAATCAGAGATTCTACCCCTAATTAAGTTTTGGGTCCTTGTGACGGTCACATCACTTTTCTGGGCCTCAGTTTGCTCATCTGTGATATGGTGGTAATAAGCCTTCTAAGACCTGCATCACTGGGCTGCTGAGACAAAAGCATTTTTTAAGTTGTAAGTCACTAGAAAAATAGCATTTGTTTTTATTGTTACTAATGAAATCGTGATCTAAATTCCCTCCATGTCATAATAAAAACTTTCATGCATAGCCATGGGTAAAAAATTAATTCTGACTCGTATTACATTTTTTTTTCTGGGGACTAGTGTGTAAACTCCCTTTGCCAAAGCAACATTAGTAAGTATATCTTATAATATCACAGAGCTGCCTGGAGCATTTAAAGGTTAAGAGGGGCTTGTCCAGAGTCACGCAGCTAGTCAGTGTCACAAGTATCCAAAGGTCTTGGCTCTAAGCTCAGG